ATAAGAATTTATAAAGTAAAAAAAATGAATAAAAAAACGAAAAAATGTTACTTTTAAAAATTCATAGAATCGATAGTTGTTACGTTTCCTTATAATGCAAATGAGTTTTCAATATACATATTTCTAAAGCATATGTTGTGCATGTATCATTATGCCTTTACGCTTAACTTAGAATTATTCTTTATCTACTTTATCAGATAAATTTAAGTACACTAGTCTACTTTTGGCAGCAAAACACAGATTTAGGTTGATATGAAAAGCCGACATAGATAAATAAAACTCTTAAAGCCCTCTCATAAAAAAGTCTTTTCAGATCGATCATTGAGTCTTCTCTATAATTTGTTTTATTTGTTTCTGCCTTAATCAATGTGTAGTATTAAATCATAAATCACATTTAACTCAAAATAAATTTGAACCTCCTTTATTTCCCAAGTATGCTGTACAGTAAGAATGTATCTAGTTCGTCAAATTCAGCAAGATGCATTGTTTTTGATATTTTGATTGATCTGATCCATGTCCCCCAGTCATGATCAGACTGATCCGAAGGTATATACCCGAATTATCTCTTGACACTGGCAAAAAAAGTTACTAATATAAATTTTACAAAAAGATGATGATGACATAAATCATTCCATTAAGGTACAAAGTCCATGGAATTGAATGAATACACTATTCATGCAAAATAAAATAAATATATCCCTGCAAAGAAAGAAGAATATCCTCTATTAATGTATGCATAAAAGATGTTTTATTTTATTAGAAAAGGGCGTTTGCAATGTTCGATCAAGGTTGAAGGGTGAATTAAGTCAAGTTATGCTTTATTCACCCGAGGTGCTAATTTTTAAACAATTGATTGAACAGGATAATTATTTGTGGCCTGTGAAAGTTTGATGTACCGTAGTTTTTGTCTGTGTCCTTCAACATTTAGATACATCGACGAAGTATTGTCAATTAATAATGGTAATTTCCATACCTTTGTCGATACAACATATCCTGCTGAGCTCGAGATTAAAGATACCACAGAGATTGACATATCTGTTTCATATTAGGATATTTTATTGAAAAGAAAAATATAATCTAACAACCAAACTCAATGATAAATGTGATTACTTTTACTTTTCTACCGTCAACTTCCCTTATGAAGGAATATACCTTCATCGCCTACATACGTAGTTTATATCTTTCAGTTGATTCGATACGCAAATGCATGCTCTACGTATGAATAATTTCTAAAATGAAGACAATTATTGACATACAAGTTGATGAAACAACAATATCAGCAGTCTTTTATTTAAAGTCCTCATTTCAATGGATTTTTTCACTATTCACACACTTGATTGAACCGGATATTTTACGATGAATCGGCAATATTTCAGCCATATTTTGAGAGAGAGAGAGAGAGAGAGAGAGAGAGAGAGAGAGAGAGAGAGAGAGAGAGAGAGAGAGAGAGAGCTTTTTTGAAAAATGAGTACACATATTTTTAAAACGAAAGTAGTTTCTTCTTTTAAAAATCAAAATACAATAATAAAGTCACTTAATAAAAATTTCAAAAAAAGAAAGTTTATTAAAAAAGCAAAGAAGAATAGATTATATGTTTTGTTACAATGTACTTAGATTGTAGACATACCTGTAAGGACACACATACGACCTCCGGATAGGTTCTTTTAAGGGGGTAAATATGGTTGCGTCTTTTTTTATTGGTTGCTTTTTATAAACTATTCTTCATCCTCTTCTTAAAACAGCTATTGACGGGAGAGTTATCTAGTATTTTTTGTATCCTATATACAGTAAAACTCGTTCAGTATGAACACTGATATAGCGAATTCACGGATATAGTGAAGTTTTTCTGGGTCTCCAGCAAAATTCTTAACAAATCTTTGTAAAATTTTACGGTTATAACGAACTCTGATATAACGAATTTACAGATATAGCGAACTGATTTTGAGTCCCGTTGAGGTTAAATATAATGAAATTTACATCCTTTATAACGAACCTTCAAAGATTATAAAAAAATGATAAATTGAACTGACTTTATTTCCTTTTAGCATTTGTATATAAGATTCAATTCATTAAAAAACCTTAGTTATCGAAGATATTTCTTGTAATATTTGCTTCACTAACATAGTTGGTAGTAATACTTGAAGAAAAACATGCATAGAGCGAATTCGCTATAATGGTTATACGAATTAGTTATACGGATATAACGAATTACGGATATAACGAATTAAATTCACAGGTCTCCAGGACTGTTCATCATGGAATGTACAAGCAAAGCTTTTGATATACATAACGCCATGTTAACTAAATCACATTGTTAATTTCTTAAACCATATAAATTGACGTTTTTTTTTGGGGGGGGGGGGGTATTCCTTTTTGGGACGAACATACCTTTTTTAGCTATTTTCATGGGAGAAAAACATTTTGATCATATTTAATCCTTCCAGTGTATTGAAAATTAAAGGATTTTTTTGGTGGGCAACATGGAATATTAGAGCAGAGTAATTACCATTCATAATTTCCTGACAATAGCTTAATAGTTTGCGAGATACAATGTGTTCTTCTTAATAAATCTAAGTTGATTCGTGTCATAGATTAGCGAATGCTTGTTGTAGCTTTAAATTAAAGTACAATAGGTCATTAATATAATTATATAAATCATCCACGTTAAATGTACGTAGCGGTGTAGGTTCTATAAAGTCTCTGTTTAAATCTCCTGGGGATGTTATTGATCAAAATAAGTCATGGGAATAAAAAAAAACTTTATCACCTTAAAGATGAATGTTCTGGATAATGACCGAGAACACAAGAGTTGAGATAGTATCAGTGTGCAATTAATGTTGTAAATAACAAGGGAGGACCTAGGAATTTATTCCGAGGGGATATAATGTTCTTTTTTTGAAGTTCGGACGAGTTTTAAAGCATCGAATATAAAGTTTGCAAAATGTCTGGGAAATTTACATAAAATATCTGAAAAGAATGTATCATTTAAAGACAGAGATTTGACAACTGTTTAAATACTATTTTGGGAAAGAAGCCTATCCTTTTAATTTCATATAATTTACAGTGTAATAATAAATATTTTTCATTTTCAATTTTATTATTGTTATAGAACTGGCAAATTCTATCTTAGGGTGGCTCAGATTTAAAACGTCCACTTTCAATTCGGAGTGGTAATACACCGCAAAAAAACATTGCCATAGCTGATCTAATACGTTTTATTAAGTCGATATTAACTTACTCCTCCAATTCGTTTTGATTTGTAGTTTGGGAATTTGTTGTAAATCTTCTAGCCAACTGCGTTTTAACCTGTTGACACAAGAGTCTTTCAGAAAGTTCTAAGCTGGATGTTGATAAGATTGTGTACCGGTATATATATCCGGCAGACTCAGAGAATCAAATAGTAATTTATTTTTTTTTATGTCCAATTAGTTCTGTTATTTGGTCCAGATCCAATATGGAAATTTTCTTTGTCAGTAGTAACAAGGCAGTCAAACACATTCTCCTTGGATTGCAATCAATTGCATGAATCGGTGCGTTCCTAAAAATACCGTAAGGCTCAGGGACTGCACCATCTCTGTACAATATTAATTTATGGTTCCCCTAATTCTACTTCAGTAGTCTGGAATAGGAGAACACTGTTAAGATATAACTTTTCGAACATATCAGATATAAGACTGATTCCACGACAATTCAGAAGAAGTGTAGGATCCGACTTGTGTTCTTTGATAATAGGATTGATAATTATATTACGGTATGTGATATATTTCCAATATCAAAGCATAACTGAAACATTTTGTGCAATTTTTAGACAACAATTTCATTTTTCAGAACTGCATATGGTAGTTAATCTACTTCTACTAACTTCCCGTTTTTTTTTGTTTTATCAAAAGACGATCTTTCGAATTTCCTCTCCTTTTATTTGTGAATTCAAAAGTATTTGGTATATACAAAGGGTCAAGCATCATACTTTTCTAAGTCGGCAGGGGATTGCTCATTTCTCCGTGGCACCTTATCCCACCTCTGATGTTTTGGAGGTCCGTGTTTGCTCTGCTCCTATTTTGTATTGGGTAATGGACTTTCGATCTTGCCTACTGTTCGTTATCTAAACATGTTTTATTTTAAGTGTATTTATTGGTTGATTGACTTGTTTTAAAATGCTGGGTCAAAGTCTAGATCGGAATCAGGATAATATGAATTTTTAAAAAATCTTTATACCATGTTTTTTAATCTATTTTTTTCCTTAGTAGTCATACATTTTGTAGGGTATTGTTTCTTGTTCCATTAGGACCGAGCCGTTTAATATGCTCTCATTTATATATAACCTTCAATTAAGGGCAGGTAGGTATTAATTCTCTGTACTTTAAAAATAAAAGGACAAAAAAAACCCATAAAAATTGTATTACAGTCTAAAATTATTTTTAATATTTAAATTTGGTGCCAAATTGAAAGACTTTTGTAGTAAATATACAAAGTGAAATTAGGTTAAAATATAAAAGCATCGTAAGCGACCGAAAAAAGACCCAAAGCATGCATCGTTTACTTCAGAATAACGGGTTTTAAATCTCAAATCTTTAAATATCAAATGCTTGAAACATTCTTTTGGGAATCAGATTATCTTTTTAACTGCTTTATTAGAAAAGACGAATATCACTACGCTTCTTAGAAAAAAATGACACACCGGTATTCTAGTAAATAGAAATAAAGAATTTTGAATAACGTTAAATTCTGCATAATCAACTTAAATGATACATTTTCTACACACGTGTACACAAGAAGAAGATTACTGTACATATATCATGAATTACTTTTAGAATTCTGGTTAAAATACGTTTACGTACATGTACATTCTTATGAAAATCAATATAAAATGATAATGAAATATTTGATTCGTTTTGATATACCTAAAAAAAAATCATACCAGTATATATTGTTTTGAGGATGAGTTATTTTCTAATGTTTATATATACAAGGTCAACAGGATAGGAATGGAGGGTTCAACGTTATGACAAATACTGATACACTTTGACACAGGCGTTTTCTTCTACCATCCACAGGTTGTCGTTCGTGTCCACAGAGATTCCGTGTGGAAGTGATATCCCATCATCCTCTGTCAGGATGTAAGACAGGAAGTCCCCGTCCTGGCTGATCAGGTGTATGGCATTATTGACGTTGTCTGCAATAAGGATGTGACCCAGACTGTCTGTAGCTAAACTACGCGGATTAAATCTGTCTTTTAACTTCTGTTTAAGGACATTCCCATCATATGTAAACCGAAAGTTTCCAGACTTTGTCAGAACGACAACTCTATTAAATATACTGAAATCAGACAAACATATATCGTCGTTGATATTCTCACAGACAGACCATGGACCATGAAAAAGTCTTCTCCCGTTCTGATCTGTCTCGAATTCCTGGATCTTCCTCCCACTGCTGTTGTACTTGACCACTGAAAACAGAATTTCGTGCATGCAGACCAGGATATCACCTGACTTGGTACAACACAGTCCTGTAGGACCATAATCAGTATTTATAAATATTTTTTTCTGCTTTTTGAGTGACACTTTATAAATTATTTTGTTATCATAGTCAGAGTAAATCAGACTTCCGTCCTTCATCACAGCCAGACCAGCTGGCTCCCAGTCAGTACTGATTTTATCCAGCTCTGTCCCTGACCTGTCTATCAGTTGTATCCCAGGACCTTGACCACTGACGAAAGCTGATCTGTCATCACGACAACTCACGTGATATAACTCTCCCTTTTGAGTTTTTGTTTCGCTTATTTTTAGTGAACGCCCTGAAACCTTTTTGGTAGATGGTTTTACGCGTTCAAATCCGGTCAGATATTTAGCTTGCAAGCTATCATCCCATAATGTGAGATGGCTGATGTGACCTCTGATAAATTTACCAAACTGGTGCTCATTTTGAGTTTTGTTGATGTGACCGATTGTATATGAAGGCAAAGTTAGATTTATTTTGAAGGGAAATTTAAATCTTTTGAATGTGTCAGGATTTTGCTTTCGGTACAATATAAGGTCGGCCGGATGACTTGATTCTGTAAGAGTTTCAAATTTCTCAATCAATTGTTCCAAGTTTTGTTCAAATATTTCTGCTTCTGCTCTGTATTGAGATATTTCCATCAATTTTTCTCTCTCGTCTCTCGTGGATTCATCTAAGGCTTCTGTCAAAATAGCGCTGATATGATCTATAAAATCCTGAGCTTGTTTCTTCATCTTCTCTCTGATATTTTTATGACTGGTCTTTATTTCTCTCTCCCCATTTTTGAAATATTTTATTCTTTGAATAATCTCAGACTTATATTGTCCCTTCATTTTAGTCAATTCGTGTTCGGATTCAGCCTTTTGTCTTTCGTATAGATCCTTTAATTTCCCGATAGTGTGTTTTCCGTGAACTTCCTGAATGCATGCAATGCACACCGGGACTTGACAATCTTCGCAACAAGCCTCGTACGCTTTATATGAGTGGACCACGCACATTTTGACTTGATTGGTTGGATGAAGTTTCTCAGACAGACGGACGATGTTGTGCCCGGAAGGAACTTTGCTTTTAAGATGGAAGACTTTACATCGAGGACAGAGTTCATCTCCACACGGAACACAGTGGAAGACAGCGGGCTCGTCCTCGCAGTATTGACATCGAATGACGTCCTGGGCTTGTGATCGGGCCATTATTATACAGCTGTATATCCTGAAGAAGTTAAATGTTTTATTAAGTTCAGAACAAAATTCATCTTTATTTCAAATAATTTAAACAAAATATACAATTTTACAGTTTCATAGTTTAGAAAACGGCCGTATCAATGTAAAAAAGAATAAATGGCTTATCCTTTTTTCTCTAGCATGCAGTGTACTAGAAAAGTAAAAATCAACTAATTTCTTTTTAAAGATATTGAAAAGATGGTATTGCTTTTGTTTATGTGATTGATCATTCCTCGGAACCTGAGACTGAATCTGAAGTAAATTAGCCGGATTAACATGCTGGCAAAAAATTTAATATGTGTAATGTATATGGCGTATATAAGATGATGATGATTAAAACAATTCCAAACTATTTTTTCTAAAGTAAAGTATAACATTCATGCAAAATTTAAAAAATATATATATATTTAGAAAGAACTAGCAATACTCAATGTGTGCAAAGACGATTTTTTTTATAAGAAAAAAGCTTTTTGAGTGTCCGATCAAGATTGAAGACTGTGCAAAATCATGTCTAGTTATGCTTCATACATTTGTCAAGGGGTGTATACCTTTGCATACCTGATTGAACAAGGTTAATATTTTGTCATTTGCTGAAGATTTTTTTTAAAAAAACTCACTGAATCTTTTTTCCTCAAGTTTTAGATTGGTTCACTATGTATAAGTTGATAAACCTATGTTTTGCTCAATATTTTTATGAAAATGAATTATAAAGGCTATAAAGCTAGGCATGAATGTTGCTAAGCAATTACGCTGCAAATAGATTTAAGGATTCGCCTAACTGTTTTCTTATCTAGTTTAGCTGTGTTATTGACTTGCTACCAAAAAAATATATTTATTATCTGATTACTCGTATTATTTGGAGAGAGAGAGAGAGAGAGAGAGAGAGAGAGAGAGAGAGAGAGAGAAAGGGAGAGAGAGAACCATATCTATCATGTATTGTTTACTCTATATTCTAAAACGAAAGTAGTTTTTTCTTTTGAAAACAAAATCAAAATACCATATTTGGAGCACTTAATAAAAGAGCACCAGAAGAAAGATTGTACAAAAAAAGGATCGACAGAACAGATTGTATGTTTTATTAAATTCTACTAAAATAGTAGACATACCTGTATGCACACGTATGACGACCATCCAGCTACTTGTAAAAGGTTAATAAGATTACGTCTTTTCATTGGTTGTTATTTATATACTATTACCTTAATATATTGTAGACATTCTTTTCTTAAAATAGTTTAAAACTACTACCGACAAGGGAATGTTTCATTTAAAACAAAATATAAAATAAAGCATAAATCATTGTCTTTGTGTTATATTTCAAAGTATATGTTTATGTTTTCATGCATATCTCCATGATAAAATCTATTTCTTTATAATAAAAGATATACATAAATCTAAAGAATATTTTGTGCATGTTTATTCTTTTGTATTTAAAAGACGCAACATCGCAGATGAAGTTATCGTAAAAAAGTATGCATGTAGAAAATTCATGTATTTTCGAATTTTTTAGTTTTGGTTTTTATCAGCTAGTTTAAGCTCCATTCTTTCCAAGCGTTAATAGTAAATATAATAAACAATCTCGATGAGAAAATTTTAAGATATCACACACATTTGTTTACATTAGAAGATATATGTATATAATTATATCTTTGAACAAATAAACTATGGAAGTTTCCTTGAATTGTCTTGAGATAATGTTATAACCATATACTGAATACTAGTACATAAAATAAATTCATGAATAATTTATTATCTTAGATATTATCACTAAAAAATAACTTATTTCTCCGATTAAAAAAAAGATAAAATTAATCAAGGTACTTTGCCTGGCATAAAAAATATGGAATTATTTCTAGTATTTTTTGTATCTTTTTTATCATACTCAAAATGTTACAATATACCAACGTATTATAGGGAAGTACACAATATTTGAACATATCTCGGAGAAATATTTTGAAAATTTCAGTCTTAAAAGATGTTAAGGAATTTTTAACGCAAACCATAGAATATAACAGAAGTGTAATTGCTATTCATAACTCCATGGAAATAAAGTGCTAAATTCCTTAATGGTAGATGGAAGTTGTTTATCATTATGATTGGTGGTTGCATATTGCAGCTGTAAATTAAAGTGCTCTAAGTCATGAATACTTCATTCACATGTGATATTTAAGTAGTAGTGTATGTAGTGTTCTGTTAATGTCTAAGATAGTCACTGTCAGAGGTGTAAATCAGGGAGAGAGATTTTTCCATATTCTATTCATATGTTTTATTTCCTTTTTTTTTACAGTGACAGTGAAAAAATATAGAGAAAATAAATTGTCATTACTTTGAACAGAAATGAGCCAACGTAAAATCCTGACTTTGTTGTGCATTATTACCTCATGGAAGCATATCCTCTGAGTTTTCACTATCATAAAGAAATAGTATAACATATTGTACCACAGACTGTACTAATGTCATTTGTTATACAGATTGTAAGAATTCCACTTGTTCTGACTTACTGATTGTTAGTCCCTGTGTATTATACTATAGTAAGAAAATATCAACCATACATGTAAAGAGCACTGTAAAAATTCTATTTGTCTAAAGCAAGATATATCAAAACTTCTATATACTAGTCAAATTACAAAATCACTTTAATATTTCATAGACTTTGTTTATTTTGTCTGTTGTTATAAACCTGGTTTAAGTTTCTGATCCATGTGCAGAAACATACAGTACAGGCAATACTTATATCTCTTGTATAAAGTTCACGTGCCCAAAGTTATTTCTCGCCATCAAATGCTTTCTGGTTATTTGACACTGAGGAAAATGTCTGCACATTTATATAAAAGAGGAAAATAAATTAAAGAAAAGTTTTCTAAATTTAGGAACAGAACATAAACGATGAGAAATAAAGAAGAAAAGAATTTTTTCTTGATATCTTGGATAAAGAAAATTTAACTTCGCGTGCCCACTACATGTAACTGCAAACTCTCGCCATCAAATGTTTTCCGGTAATTGACACTTTAAGAAAAAATGCCTGCACATTTCATATACAATAAATCGAAATGAATCAAAATAAGGGTTCTAAATTGGGAAAAGAATAAAAACAATATGAAGATGTACATTTTTTTTTCAAATGAATGCTGAAAATCATTTATCGAAACTCTAACAGTCTGAGTTCAGCATTTATTACAGTTCGAATATAATATGAAGTTTAAAAAAAAAAACTAATCAAAATTTCTGTTATTTAATTTTGTTTCTTGATAGACTCTTAATAACAAAAAAATAATTAACCAATTGCAATGACGTTACTATTTAATAAAATTTTCTATTAAATTTCAAGGATTGATATTGTAATTTTAGAAACAAAAATAAACCTATTTTTCTTAGTTTAAATTTTATTCATAGCAAAATAAATGAAAATACTTTTATTAATAAACACACAGTTTCATTCTTTTTTTTTTTTTTTTTGGTTACAGGGAAAATTCGCAAATTACAATTCGGGGAGATAACTCCCGTTTGTTTACGATACTAAATGTCAGTAATTAATCGATTATTTAACCGCGGCGGGGACAGGGAGGTGACGAATTTCCCGCGGAGGGAACGCGGTTTACCTGTCTCACCTGGCCAAATACCGCGTTGTGATTATACCGCACTGTACATCACCCGTGATCACATGCTTAGTTACAAACGTTGTCAGTAGAAACTGTTGTCATGGTAACATTTGACAGATTTTGTGCTTCATTTTCTTGAATTCAGTGATATGTGAAATAAATTATTGTTTTATATTTGTGACAAGAATCCTGACTTTGTTGTCATTGCTGCTCATCATCTTGAGTGACCACCTGACCATATATAACTTTAACTCATGATTGTAAGGAAGGGTCATCAGATTCTCTGTAGAAACAAATGAGCTTGCATGAAAATCAAATTCAAAATGTACTATGCAGAGCAGGCACGAACCTCCAAAAGATCAAAGGTGGGATCAGGTCCCATGGAGGGGTGAGCATCTCCTGCCAACCAGTCACATCCGTGTAAAAGAATGGACTAACAATTAGTATGAAACACGTATATCAGCATTTCACTCAGTGATGAATTGTACTAGCTGACAAGGTCATTGAATCAACCATAGAACTTACGAAATGATGACTTTAATGAGACTGCCGATATTTTTGTTTCATCAGCCCAATAACCGAGAACACAAGAAATGTGATAAACGTTCCTAATCAATGTTACAAATAACTAGGATGGATCTTTGAATGAAGTCCACACGGACGTTGAAAATTACACCCCTAATTTGAAAGTGGGGGCAGCCGAAGAATTTTTTTACTTACCTGAAAAATTTGACACGCCAAAAAAAAAAAAAAGAAAAAAAAGAAAAAAAGGGAAGGTTGCCCAAAATATCCTATTTCGTGGGGGGGAGGGGGGAGGGGGAGGGCTATTTCAATGCCTATTACAGTCAGTGCCAACTTTTAGACTGCATTTTTAGAATATAGAATATGTATTCAACCAATTTGGGCACACAGTGGATATACAGAACAATGTCCAAAATCATCACAGTTAGACATACAAAAAACAGAACAAAACAAACATTGTTTAATGAACAGAGAGTGGCGTATCTACTTTTAGGATGCATAAAATGTACATTATAATTGGCCTATGTATAATATATGTAATATGCCTATTTGGAACTATGTTGTTTTCTTTTATTATAATTTGCATTTATAAGTTGGCATAATAAAACAATAAACTCAGAATCTTCATTTGACATAGCCCCCCCCCCCCGCCCCCCTGTTGCTACGTGCCTGGTGAAAAAGAATTTGATTATTATATATCGTTTTGATGATGAGATATTTTGTACAGTTAATTCATTCATTTGTAAAGGTTCACAGTAAGAAAGAAGGGTATGACAGATACTGATACAGTTTGACACAGGCTTTTTTTTTCTTCTACCAGCCACAGGTTGTCGTTAATGTCCACAGAAATTCCGCGTGGAAGTGATATCCCATCGTCCTCAGTCAGGATGAGTTAGAGGAAATCACCGTCCTGGCTGATCAGGTGTACGGCGTTATTAGCGTTGTCTGCGATAAGGATGTGACTAAGACTGTCGGTAGCCACACCATACGGACCAAATCTGTCTTTTAACGTCCTACCGTGGACCTTCCCGTCATATCTAAAGCGAGGATTTCCAGACTTGCTCAATTCGACCACTTTACTATTTATACTCCAATCAGTAACACAGATATCCTCGTTGACATTCTCACATACAAAGCAAGGATCAATAAAAAGTCTCTTCCCGTTCTGATCTGTCTGGAATTCCTGGATCTTCGTTCCAGTTTTGCTGTACTTGACCACTTTACCTGTATTAAACGAAAACACACGCATACAGACCAGGATATCACCTGACCTGGTACAACACAGTCCTCTAGGACCAGACTCAGTGTTTATAAGTCTTGTTTTCTGTTTATTAAGTGATACTCTATAGATAACTTTATTGTTGTGGTCAGAGTAAATCAGACTTCCGTCCTTCATCACAGCCAGACCAGATGGTTCAGTGTCAGTACTGATGTTATCCAGCTCTGTCCCTGACCTGTCTATGAGTTGTATTCCAGGACCATCACCACTGATGTATGTTGATCTGTCATCACGACTTGTCAATTTCTTATCTAGTTCCGCTGTGTCATTGGCATGCTACTTAAAAAAATTATTTATTACATAATTAATCATATTATCAGTAAGGAGAGAGAGAGAGATCGAGAGAGAGAGAGAGATCGAGAGAGAGAGAGAGAGATCAAAATACCATATTTGGAACACTGAACGAAAGAAACATCAGAAGAAAGATAATAAACAAAAAAGGATCGGGAAAGTAGATTGTATGTTTTTAAATTCTACAAAAATAGTAGACATACCTATATGTACACGTGTGACGACCATCCAGCTACTTGTAACGGGTTAATAAGATTATGTCTTTTTCATTGGTTGTTATTTATATACTATTACCTTAATGTATTGCAGACTTTCTTTTATCAAAAATAGTTTAAAGCTACTACTGACTAGGGAGTGTTTCATTTAAAACTAAATATAAAATAAAGCATAAAACATTCTCTTTGTGTTCTATTTTAAAGTTATTTTTTTCATGTATATAATCTATTTCTTTATAAATATATATATATATATATAAACATAAGTCTAAAGAGCATTCTGTGCATGTTTATTCTCTTGTATTTAAAAGACGGAACATCGCAGATGTGCTTGTCGTAAAAAAGAGAAAGAGATTTCCCCCTATTCTATTCATTTTTGTTGTTTCCATGTCTCACAATGACAGTGAAAAAAATGTATAAGAAGATAAATTGTCATTACTTTGAACAGAAATGAACCAATGTAAAATCCTCACTCTGTGATTGTTTCCTTGTGAGTTTTCACTATCAATAAGTAATAGTATACATTTGTACAATATTGTAGCAGAAATTGTACAGTCATTTGTTATACAGATTGTAAGAATTCCACTTGTTCTGACTTACTGATTGTTAGTCCCTGTGTATTATATTATAGTAATAAAATATCAACCATACACATTAAGAGCACTGTAAGAATTCTATATGTCTAAAGCAAGATACTATATCAAACTCCTATATACTAGTCAAATTACAAAATCACTTAATTTAATGTTTCATAGACTTTGTTTATTTTGTCTGTTATTATAAACCTGGTATAAGTTTCTGATCCATGTGTAGAAACATACACCACCTGTGATCACGTGCTTAGTTACAAATGTTGTCGGTAGAAACTGTCATCATGGTAACATATTGACAGATTTTGTGCTTCATTTTCCTGAATTCAGTGATATGAGAACATGAATAAATTATTGTTTTATATTTGTGACAAGAATCTTGACTTTTTTGTACTTATTGCTTATTGTCTGGGGTGACTGCCTGTCTATATATAGCTTTACATCACTATTGTAAGTAACATTCATCAGATGTCTCGGTAGCAACAAAATGTGATTGTATAAAATTCAAATTCAAAATTTACTGCGTACGCTCATATTTCCCTTTTCACCAAAAATTTTATGACTAAGACTAAATTTCCCCACATTCTACAAAAAATAAGCTGCAAAATTCGTCGTTTTTTTAAATGACATTTTATGAGATTGAATATATTTTTTTAGAAAAATATCTTTATTAAGTAAATAGTAACAGATGGTGTAATTTTAATATTTATTGTAAAGATTTATGTATGAAAATGGTCACTGTTTGAGCTGATCAGTAAATGTAGAGCAGTAAATTAACTATCTAACGCACATTATGATGATTTACACTATAATTACATTGTAAGTGTAAATTTCACTGAACTTTATTAGTACGTATATTCAAATCAGCTAAGTACCTAAAATGAATAAGTATGTCCAATCCATGCAGTTATTACTCAAAACGTATTAAAATGAGGATTTTAAAAATTCAATCATTGCAGTCCAAAAATGTATAATACAACTGCTTTGTATTAATAGTCACACTGGACACGTTAAGGTGAAATTATCCTTTGATTGAAAAAGAATGTTGTTTAACGTTCTTCTCGAAAACTTTTCATTATTTTGGATACCCCACCACTTGCCGGTGGAGAGCTACAAATTTTGTCCTATACTCGGCATTCAGGGCCACTCAGCAGAGAGGGATCTTTTTGTACCAGCACTAACTACGACACGGGACCTCAGTTTATACGGTCTCATTCAAAGGACCGGTCTCCACGTCCCATAGTGGGATTCGAACCCGCAAAGTAAGAATCAACTCTTTACTTAGCTACTCTAGAGCAGAAATTTTCCTTTGATAAGAGAGATAAGTAAAAAGTAGTAAGCAACGGTTCATATTTCGATCACTTTTCCATTAGAATATCATGCTTATGTTTCTGATGAAAATTAATCCGGGGAATAAAAATGAAATTTAAAAAAGTAAGACACTTTAGCACAGATTGATACGCTATATATATATATCACTTTAAAAATAAATGATCCTTGCCTTTTTGAGATGAAACATGGAGATAACGAACAGTATTCCCGATCATAAGTCCATAAAACAATATAAAACAAGAACAGAGCAAACATGGACCTCCAAAACATCAGAGGTGGGATCAGGTGCCATGGAGGAGTGAGTGTCCCCCCTGCCGACCGCTCACGCCCGTCATGTGCTCCTTGTCATGATCGGGAAATAACGGAAAAATCCATCGTCAATTCAGTGTATAACTAATGGACTTACAATTAGCATGAACAACGTCAGTCAGCATTTGACTCAATGATAAATCGTATTTGTTGACAAACTCATTTGTATCGACCATAGAACTTACGCAGTGATGACTTTAAATGAGACTGCTGCTATGTTTTTGTTTCATTAGGCTATATACCTCACCCTTTCAAAACTGTTTTGGCAGCACAGATTGCAGTTTACATGAAAAGCGGACAAAGAGAAGTTACTCGTTAAGTCCTTCTTCCGTAAAATTTAACATTGAGTCTTCTCTGTAATAAGTTTTACTAGTTTCTTCTTTAATCAATGCGCAGTATTAAACCATAAATTACATATTAAATTACATTTGAATAATTTATGTGATATAATAATTCAATTTTTCGCAATGAAAAGTCACAGCATTTTCCGAAGTCACATATAATTCTTGATAAACAATTCTTGATAAAATACATGTACTTACGTTCTTGTGAAAATCACTATAAAAATAATCATTAAATATCAGATTTGTTTCTATTTCCAGAACATATCGTTTTGATAATGAGCTATTTTGAAAAGTTAATATATACTTTTGTAAAGGTTCATAGTATAGAAATGGAGTGTTCAAAATTAAAACAAATGCTGATACACTTTAACACAGGCGTTTTTATATTCTACCAGCCACAGGTTGTCGTGCGTGTCCACAGAAATTCCGTGTGGAAGTGCTATCCCATCATTCTCTGTCAGTATGCATGAGAGGAAGTCCCCGTCCTGGCTGATAAGGTGAATGGCGTTATTGGCGTTGTTTGCGATAAGGATATGACCCAGACTGTCAGTAGCCAAACCGTACGGATCAAATTTAAACCTTCCAGCTTGGACCTTCCCGTCATACTTAAACCGAAGATTTCCAGACTTAGTCAGTACGACCACATTTTTGTTCATACTCCAATCGGAAACACAGATATCCTCGTTGATATTGTCACAGACAAAAGTTGGATAAAAAAAGAGTCTCCTCCTGTTCTGATCTGTCTCAAATTCCTGTATCTTCCTCCCACTGCTGCTGTACTTGACCACTTTCGCTGTATTAAACAAGCACATACAGACCAGGATATCACCTAATCTGGTACAACACAGACCACTAGGACTATCCTCAGTATTAATAAGTGTTGTTGTCTGTTTATTAGGTGACACTCTATAGATAACTTTATTGTCGTAGTCAGAATAAATCAGACTTCCATCCTGCATCACAGCCAGACCAAATGGTTGGCCGTCAGTACTGATGTTATCCAGCTCTGTCCCTGACTTGTCTTTCAATTGTATTCCAAGACCATCACCACTGATGTAAGCTGATCTCTCATCACGACAACTCACATGATATAACTCTCTAATTTGGGTTTTTATTACGCTTAATTTTACAGAACGTCTCAATTCTTTTTTGGTAGACGGTTTTACGCTTGCAGACCCAGACAGATCTTTAACTTGTAAGCTACCATCGCTTGATTTAAGAGAGCTTATGTGACCACTGGTGAATTTCCCAAATTGGTGTTCATTTTGAGATTTGCTGAGCTGGCCGATTTTAAATGAAGGCATAGTAAGATTAATTTTTTCTGGAAATTTTAATCTCTTAAATATGTCATGATTTCTCTTTCGGTACAATATAAGGTCGGCGGGATGACTGGATTCTGTAAGAGTTTCAAATTTCTCAATCAGTTGATCCAAGTTTTGTTCAAATCTCTCAGCCTCTGCTGTATATTGAGATATTTCTATTAATTTTTCAGTCTCGTTTTTCGATGATTCATCCAAGGATTCCTTCAAAATTGCTCTGATATGATCTATAAAATCCTGAGCTTGCTTCTTCATTGTTTGTCTTATATCTTTATGACTGGTCTTTATTTCGCTTTCTCCATTTTTGAAATCTTTTATTCTTTGAATAATTTTAGACTTATATTGTGTCTTCATTTTAGACAATTCGTTTTCGGTTTTAGTCTTCTGTTTTTCGAATAGATCTTGTATCTTCCCGATGGCGTGTTTTCCGTGCACTTCCTGAATGCACGTTATACACACAGGGACTTGACAATCTTCACAGCAAGCCTCGTAGGCTTTAGATGAGTGAACCTCACACATTTTGATCTGATTTGTGGGATGAAGTCTCTCAGACAGACGGACAATGTTGTGCCCGGAGGCAACTTTACTTTTAAGATGGAAGACTTTACATCGAGGACAGAGTTCATCTCCACACGGAACACAGTGGAAGACAGCGGGCTCGTCCTCGCAGTATTGACATCGAATGACGTCCTGGGCTTGTGAACGAGCCATTGCAATACAGCCTTATATCCTGGAAAATAAAGTATAATGAATTAAAATTGTTAATTCCTGCCTTGTAAAACAACCCCATCCTATCATATGGAAATGCTAATCAGGCCAGGGGAAAGGTTTTGGGTAATTAAAAAAAGCTTTTTTTTAATTTAGAAATACATAGAAAATAACTTTAGCATTTATTGTCTAGTAGATTTAATGCTTGGAAAGAAAAGAACCTTTTACTTAAAAATTGATAAATACACCCACGTGTAATAATATTGACTAAAAAAAGGAACATCCAAGAGGTTTACGTATTGAAAGCCGATAATATTGGAAATTTAAAAATTAACTGAGAGATGTAATAAACGAAAAGTGCTTGTATTTATAGAGGTTAGTAAAGACATGCATAATGCAGGGAATGCTCACTCCTCCATGGCACCTGATGTTGTGGAAGTCCCTGTTTGCTCTGCTCCTATTTTGTATTGTTTTATGGACTTTTGATGTTTTTAACATATTTTATTGAAATAAATCAAATGGATTGGAAAACTCCTTTTGATCTTAAATACTGTTCCAAATCTCCACATATTTCACTCCACATATATTTCATGAACACATTAATAGTGACATATTATTTTCATAGACAAATGAATGCCCCATAACATCTCTCTGCCACAAATACATGCTCGACCCATATTTTTCTTTTATATGAGTTGTACAATGTTATGACAGTATCAGACATTTTAGGTCACCTGAGTAAACTCAGGTGACCTATTGCTATCTGTTTTCGTCCGTCGTCGTGCGTCGTGTGTTAACATTTGAACATTTTCAGCTTCTTCTCTGCAACTACTGAAAAATTTTCAACCAAATTTGGCATAAAGTATCTATGGGTAAAGGGGAACAAAAATTGTGAATTACATTATCCCTGCCCCCCTGGGGCCTGAGGGGTGGGGCCAAAACCACTAGAATTAATGCAATCTTCAAAAATCTTCTTTACTCCTGGACATCAAGCAGTCAAACTGTTTGCATGATTGTAATCAGCATTAAGTTCTCTACCAAAATTGTGAAATTCATGGCCCTGGGGTCAGGGGTTCTAGTGCTAAGGTGGGGCTAAATAAGTATATAGTGGAAATGCATTATTTCCTCGAAAATCTTTTTCTCTGCTCCTGGGTATTATATAAACTAACTAAGTACATAGTTATGATGAGCAAGAGTGCCTCTACCAAAATTGTGAATTTTATGGCCCCAGGGTCAGGGGTTCTGGTGTAAGGGCGGGGCTCTATTGATTATATAGTGAAAATACATGAATACTTTGAAAATCTTCTTCTCTTCACCTGGTTACTAAATAAACTAACTTAGTACATAGTTATTATAAGCACTAGTGCCTCAACTAAAATTATGAATTTCATGGCCCCAGGGTCAGGGGTTCTGGTGTTAGGGTGGGGCTCTATTGATTATATAGTGGAAATACATGAATTCTTTGAAAATCTTCTTCTCTGCCCCTAGGTTTTAAATAAACTAAATACATAGTTATGATAAGAAAGAATGCCTCTTCCAAAATTGTGAATTTTTTACCCCAGGGTCAGGGGTTCTGGTGTTAGGGCGGGGCTCTATTGATTATATAGTGAAAATACATTAAATCTTTGAAAATATTCTTTTCTGTCTGTGGGTATGAAGCAGATGAATACCTATAGAGTTATTATGAGCAAGGGCCCTAATCTTGTAGAATTGTGAATTTCAAGGCTTCGGGGTCAGGGATACCATAGAGGGGTGGGGGCTGTACTTATATACTGAAAATGAATGAATTGTTTGAAATCTGCTCCTTGATATTAATAAAATATTTTTGAAAAGCAAAGATGCCTTTTCAAAAATTGTGCAGTGTGTGGATCTATGCCTAAGGGTCAGGGGTTCATGTGTGGTAAGGGCACTACTGATTATTGTTAAATATTACTGATTAGTTGAAATGCATTTTTGTTCTCCTACCCTGCCTATGGGTATTAAGTAACCAAGCTAAGCATCTGCTAAATGTATTGTTCTGATTATCAATGGTGCCTCTTTCCAAATTGTGAATGCCATAGCATCTGGCTTAAAACATAAATCAAATTCAATAAATGTAAAGTTGTTGTAAAATGCTCAGGTGACCTATAAGGCCCATAGGCCTCTTGTTATTACATATTTTAGCTGTAGAAATTGGATTTCATAAAAATACCTTACGCAAAACCGATTATGTGAATTATTTAGAATGAATTTGAGATAAAGTCCAATTTGTTTTCGAATGTTCACGATAGAAGGATTTACAAGTTAAATATATAAAAAAAAAATTACCTTGCCAAGGATATATAGATTGATATTGATGTTATGTTGCACCCAATGTTAAGGAGCCTTGCGATTTGGGAAAGTTTCTGCACCGTGATTTTACCGTGGTATTAATAGATATAAAGAATGTCATACTGTCTAAATAAAACAAACAAAATTTGTTTTAAAAAAATTCTTTGTATATTCTCCACCATGAAACTGATTGAATAATTATAATGGAAATTATTTTTAAAAATACCTGTGGCAGTGTACTATGTCTTACTATTGACATGCTATAAATGTATACGGTATTCAATGTCTTAATATTAACATAATAAAGTGACTTGAATGGAACTCTTATAAGCATTGTCTGCAATGACAAAATGATTCCAAAATAATTAATGTTCTTGATTACGAGTGAAAAGTGTTTTTTAAATATCCAACCAAGTTGGCATGATGAAAAGCCCTATCTTGATATGACGTTGTTACGCGCCAAATTCATTTTTATGGTTGGTCGGAAAACTTCCGTTTCCCTCTACGATAACTGGAAAAAAATGGGGTTTCTTTGGTGGAAAAGTTAAAAAACAAACTACGGTAACATTATATTTCTTTTTTTTTATTCACCCTCAGTTATGACATGATTGCAAGAAATTTATACTGACTGCATATAAGAAAAACTGCTGTCTATACCCCAGGTGCATCCATTCCAACTATAAAATAGGCGTCGGAACTGGAAAAGCTAAGGGGAGGGGTTTAGCCCCCCCCCCCCACTTTTTTGCAAATATATATACATAATATAGGCATTGAAAATTGAGGTTTACCTTTTGTGTTAGTTTAGCGCCCCCCCCCCCCCCCCCCCCCCCCACTTTCAATTAGCTTCCGACGCCTAATTGTGTGTAAATGTAATCACAATATTATCTCCCGTAAAACGCACGGGCTTTTAGCTTTTAAACACTTTCCTTATGTCACGTCATATATTTCATGCCTGAGAGGTTTTTAGTGCACCGTGACGAAATGTAAGATACACCACTGTCTAATTTCCATAATTTTCGGCAAAATATTCAAAATATTTTGGAATTTTATGTTCTCATTGGTGATTTTTCCTTTCAGTATGCGAGAGACCTTACACGGAATTATAAATATAAGAATCGTGATTGCTCTGCTCCTATTTTGTATTGTTTGAATGATTTTTTGAGTTCGACAATACTGTTCGTAATTTACCTACATTTCATATTTACAGTGTATTAAATACCGAATTCCCTCTATTCTAAACGGAAAGTAGATTCTCCTTTGTTCAAAAACAAATGATCAAAACACCAAACCCAATGTGCTAAATTAGAGAACCCTGTAAGAATGAAATGAAAAGAAGAAAGCAGAAGAGATTATATGGTACATATAAATGTTATATATTCTACGTCGACTGTACACATACCTGTAGGAACACGGCCACAAACCAGCTACATAAAAATGGAAATATGGTTGCGGCTTTTTCATTGGTTGTTATCATAAAACTATTACCTAAATGATATCGTACAAACAGTTTGCTCACAGACCCTTTTCTCTCTCTCTCTTTCTCTATCTCTCTCTCTCTCTAGACTAGGCCTCAGCTAACGATGAGAGATATCGTAGTCAACTCATTGTATTTTTTAAAAATTTCTGTTGATTCTGGAGTGTTACATTTAGATAAATAAATAAATGAATAAAAATAAAATTTTATAAACTAAAAAAAAGTTACTAAAAAATGAATAAATTTTATTTCAAATATTCATAAAATCTATAGCTGTTACATTTCTTTATAATGGAAATGAATTTTTAATATACATATTTCTAAAGCACATTCTGTACATGTATCCTTATTTTTACCTTTATTAGTCTAAAGTGATTTTGTTATTTTTAATCTACTTAATCAGATAAATGTAAGTACACTAGCCTACTTTTGGCAGAAAAAACACAGATTCATGAGATTGAGGTTGACATGAAAAGCAGGCAAAGAGAAATAACTCTCGTAAAGTCCAACTCCAGTAAAAAAAGTCTTTAGATCGATAATTGAAACTTAGTGGTCAAGATTTGAACAAAATTAAAAATACGAGGGTGATCCAAAGGTTCATGGAATTTATTTATAAATAAGTCATAATGCAACAACTCTGGAAATTTTATTACTTTACAATTACCATTTTGGTCATACGAGATTTCTGAAAATTGATTATTGTGAAACCTGAGGGAGACTTCGACGTAACATCAAGTTAGATATGTCACGTCACGTTATAGAAGCAACTCGCACTAATGCCTAATTTGAAAACGTAATTCTACAAGATGCTGTCCATTTCTCCATTATTTTGCAAAAAATAAAACTTTTCGTAATTTAAAGTATTCATCAGGTGTCTATATTTCATATGTAATTTTTTACCAATTCCACCTAAAAATGAATAAAATATGAAAAAATCCCACGAACGTTTGAAGCACCTGATGTTGTTTTCAACTATGAATAAGCCTGCATACTGTCAGCAGAAACTACAATATATATAGGATATTGGATTTTTCTGCCGGTAGTGGCATCGATACTGATCCGTCATCCAAACAAACCTTTAGGGATGTGAAGGATGCATTCTATGTAATTATAATGAGCCTGAGGCTCAAGAGGATATATCATATAACATTTGTTTCCTTGTGTTGCGAAGCATTACTGAGAAGGTCTTAATTAACAGACTTTAAATAGTGTGGTATGTAACAACACTGGGAACCCAACCCATATAAAAGCGACTGTTCACGTGTGAATATAATAACTTACAGAATTTGTGACAACCCACGAAAAGGGTAGGGAAAAACAAAACATGATTGAAAGTCTATTAAATATGGGTGGGTATATAGAATGCGGGACCATTCTATTACATATTGCCTTTGGGCTCTACGAAGGTATCATATAGCATATTCAACACAACACAACAATAAAAATTTTACTAAACACGTTGAACGTTTAATCAAATCAAAAGATATTAGCCATTTATTTACACAGAATTTATATCCGAATAACTTTACATGAATCACTCTTTTCATATTAATGTCCAACAGGGAAAAGAGTACCAATTATTTTCCCATAGAACTCTATACAAATCTCTTGCCCTCCCAGTGCTATACTATTTCCCTTTCCAACAAATCCCTGGTATCATTTGAAACTTCATTCTAAGCGCTTTTTAAAAACACTGAAAAATACATACCGTGCCGTGGCGTTTATAGGTCAAATTTGCAGTTCTTTTCAACTTCCAGTGATGGGCAGTAAATTACACTCTACTTTCAAAATCAACCCCACTCCTTTATTTATCCCCTGGTATTTCTATACTTACTAGAATATTTCCTCATTCCATCATTTATTTCAAACATTAATATATTTGCTTTAAAATGAAAAAAATTACTTACCTGAATTCAGCCAATCAGGTAAAGCCTAGCCATTTTTTACTCTGCTAAATCTTGTTCAACCAGGAAATGATGTAAAAATCTGGGTCTTTGGTACTCTTTTTCCTATACTTACATTTTTACCTACCTCAGAATTAGTCAATTTAGTGATTTTCAAAGACTTAACACTTACCTGTGTACATCTATGGAGTTCTGTGACTTCAGTGTCTTGGATACTGTGACCATTTCAATTGATGACACCTTACTGGTACTAGCCGAGTTGAATGTGGTGAATGACTGTCAGACCCGTGTTCATATTTGGATATATTGGTGACTGTAATAAATAAAATGCTTGTTAATTGACATGATTTTGTTTTTAAATGTAAATAAAATGATATTAAGTGCAATCTGTGTTATTTCTTTCATAAGGGTAGATTCTACCCAGAACATAAGAAAAGTTCCCAAATTTAATGAAAACATAGCAAATAATGCAAAATATGGATATTTCAAAAAGATTTATTAGCCGACTTTTTGGTGATTATGAGAAGTAAATCAATCAGGCCTCTAGTTAAACTAATGATTCTTATCTGGTCCTCCCTGCTGATTAAGTATGTGCAAAAAGTTTCACCACCCCTCTATCTAATGTAACTTGGAGAAATAGCAGGTGCCCCCCATCTTCTTTGTTTACAATTAACTGAGACAAGAGAAAATCCCTTATTTTGATAACACATTAGAGTTCAGTCTCTGTAGCCTTAAACAGCCCTGTATATTTGCCAAAATACTCAAATTTTAAACTGGAAAAGGAGAACTTAAAGAAATGCCAAAATTCCAAAAAGGTAACAAGTGCGGTTTCAAACCCCAAAATGTGCCTCACAATAAGGGGGTGGAAAGTAAGCGAAAGGAAAATTTACCTGCACCGTACAGGAGACTGTCTGAGGACATGCATCAGATGGTGACGGTGACTCCCTCAGCTGCTGAAAGGCAGGAAATGATGCTGCGACCCAAGTGCCACCACCTCCTCAGGCCAAGGAAGCCAAACAATGAAAGTGTTCAGGAGGGCCTAAATGAAAATGAATCAGAACAGTAAGTCAAATTTCAAAAAAATTAATCACAATTAATCACTTTTTCTCAAAATATTTTTTAAAATTAAGTATTATAAAGCTAAATATTACCTAAATACTAAAAAAAAGTCTAAATAAGGGTAGGGTACATATTACACACAATTACATGTAAATACATGCAGGGTCAAATTTGATACATGCAGTAAAAAGCCTTATCAGTATTTTACAAAAATTTAAAAGTAATAATTGCAAGAGAAAAAAATTTACACAATGTTAAATTTCTCTATGTCTTGTTAGATAGTCTAAGGGAAGTAACTCTAAAATCTATTCACATGCTCTGCACAATGCCAACCTGTTTAAAGCAAATGAAACATTGAATATTTACCTAGGCTGGCTAACCAAAATTCCCATAGACTCCTACATCTAAGAAAAACAGCCGAGATGTGGAATGAGGTCATGCGAGTCCACCGGCATGAGAAACCAGGCTGTGATGGACAACTATCATTGGACCTGGCTACCGAAGAGAGGCGAGGCCTTGGAAGCAGATTGGGCCTCTGCTGCACCACGTGTGGATATGCATCGAGGCGGTATAATCTGTATGAGGAGGTAGAGTCCAAAACCCGGGGTAGAAAAGCTGCCACTGTTAATTATGGGCTTCAGGTGGGCCTAAGTCAAACCCCCATAGGCAATGATGGGATGAGGAAAATTCTTCTTTCTACTAACACTCCCCCTCCTTCTCGTAAGTCCCTGCAAAAAACATCAAATAAAATTATGCCCCTAATAGAGACCCTTAATGAAGCTGACATGAGTAATCGGTGTCGCCAGCTGGTGGATGTCAACACTCTAAGGGGAAGTGACTCCCCACATGCCATCCCCGTACAGTGTGATGGCATGTACAATAACCCCCTGTACTCGGGGGTGGGTGAGACACCCTTCCAGCCGGCGACACAGACAGTGTACTCATTTGCTGAAAATGTCACATCAAAACACCAAATTGTTAAAATGGTTACAAAAAATAAAATCTGTTCCAAACATGGCCACTTACTGGAGGAGGGCACTGCTAACCACCAATGTAGTCCTGGGGTGTGTGGGGCAAACCTACCCATGCAGCATACAATAGGGGATGAGTTTACATGGGCTCGGGAGGGGATGGCGGAACTCCTCTGCAAAGATGGCCTCGAGGTAAGGGAGGTAACCACTGACCCGGACAGCTCCGCTGGTCGAGCTGCAGATTCCCTCTATAAGGACGGTCTGCTACAAAATAAACCAGTACACTATATTGACACTCGTCACTTGTCTGAGAATATTAGGAAGTCAATCAAAAAAGATCAAAAACTGTTAGAGGTCATGCCAAAAAGAACAAAGGCAGAAAAAACCAAACTTTTGCACAATTTTGCCCTTGATGCTGTTGACAGATGCACGGCAGAGATAAACCAAGCTCAAGCAGCATATGCCGGAGATGCAGATAAAATGAAAAACAAAATATCTTATGCCAAACATGCAATAGTAAAGTGTTACATGGGGGATCATGCATTATGCAGAAAACACTCTCTAGTGTGCAAAGGCAGAGTTAGTAACAATTGGGTTAGGAAGAGTTCTTATTTAGGTCATGATTTCACAATACCGTCTTCAGTCGAGAACGAGGCAAGGCTCCATGCCTGCATCTCAAAGAGGTTGTGTCCAGCTGTACTGGACAGGACGATCAAAAACAGCAACTCACAAAAGGCCGAAAGCTTCAACAGAGAACTCTGCGACGATCCCTACCTCGTAATGTCACTTTCACGAGAAACTTTGCTGGTCGGGCGCACAGTGCTGCTCACTCTTCTAATCACGGTCCGGGCAGCTCCATCAGAGGTCTCTGTGCAGGGGTTGGTGCCCCCATTCCCACTGGTGGCCAGGTTGACCATTCCCTAGATAAGATACAACAAGATTATGAGTTAAATAAATCAAATCAGAAGTCTCAGTCCTACAAAACAAAAAGGGTTATTAAACGCAAAAAACTGTACAAACTGTATGAAAAACACCAAGAGGAAGTCAAATATAAAAAAAATATGATGCTAGTGGAATCTCGAACCCGAGCTCAGAAAAAAAAGTACCCAGAACACAACTATTCTAAATTGAGTGATTAATATCTTAATATTTATCAAATTCTTCTATCAATAAAAAAAATTACTTTAAAAAATGCACTTGGGGTAGTGGGCCTCAGTACAAAAACCCTGGCCTGCACAGTGAATCCGCTCCTGATTAATGGCATGCTGCTCCCGAGTGAGGTGCATCGGGTTGATACACAACTTCTTATGGCAGAGATGGCTGACCTCTAGTCCCCTACCTGGAAACTGAGATGGGGTCCGACGCATCTCTACCATAAGAGCAACCCGATGCACCAGCTCTACCTTCCTACCCTCCTCCGGCCATGTGACCCTCATCACCCCATACCCCCTACTATTGGTCCCCCCTCTCCACAGTACACAATCCCCCTCCCCTACCCCCACCCTCTCACTCTTATTTGCTAAATTCAATTTCAGCTTCTAAAAAATGTCTCCCATCTTCAAATCATTTGCTATCAACAACTAATTTTGTCTTTAAAGTCACGTGACATTTCAAAAATG